GGGGCACAGGTGGATGCCCAGGGTGGCCAGTATGGCAATGTACTACAAGCAGCCGCTCGGGCTGGGAATGAATCAGTTGTTCGCCTTCTCCTCGAGCGTGGGGCAAAGGTAAAAGCTCAGGGTGGCCAATATGGCAATGCGCTACAAGCAGCTGCAGCAGGAGGGAACGAATCGGTTGTGCGTCTTCTCCTTGGTAATGGCGCAGATGTGGCTGCTCGTGGGGGCCATTGCGGCAATGCACTGCAAGCAGCTGTAGTAAGGAGGAACGAATCAGTTGTACGGCTTCTCCTCAAAAATGGCGCAGACGTGAATTCTCCGGAGGGCCGTTATGGTACTGCCCTATGTGCAGCGGTTCATGGGCGGAATGAATCGATAGCGCGCCTTCTCCTTGAGCACGGGGCAGAGCTGAACACTCAGGGAAATACACTACACGAAGCAGCAGTACGGGGGAGCCGATCGGTCGTGCGGTGTCTCCTCGACCATGGGGCGAAGGTGAATGCTGAGCATAAGAGTTATGGAAATGCGCTCCATGCAGCTGTCGTGGGGGGCGATGGATCGGTCGTGCGTCTTCTCCTTGATCACGATGCAGCCGTAAATGCTCAGGGTGGCAGTTATGGCAATGCACTCCAAGCCGCTGCAGCGATTGGGAACAAACATGTTGTGCAGCTTCTCCTCAAGAGTGGGGCGGATGTGAATGCTAAAGGTGGCCTTTATGACAATGCACGACTAGCAGCTGCAATGAGAGGGAATAGGTCAATTGAGCAGCTCCTACTAGATCATGAGGCGGGGAAGTCAGAATCTGGACAACGCACTGCAGCAGAAGCAGTGCAAGTATCCGGGAGACCTCCTATATAAACTACTTACCAGAAAACCACCGGGCTAATCACCAACCAATCCCGGAAATTATTCCTCTCCTATCCCACCGACCCCTGCCCCCTCATCCAGACCAGCTTTCCAAATGCGGCTACAGAATATCTAAGTTACCACCCATCACTACCATTAATCCACCATGTCGTTCCAGTATTGTGCTAGTAATAACTCCCAACAACCTCTCATCCTACGAATGACATCCCGGATGGTGTCCAAAAATCTCCGCCTTCCCCACGACCGCACCGTTCCTTTATTCAACCCCAAACCTGGAACTACCGTTTCGACCGATCTGACTTCTGTACTACCTCTATCACGCGGTCCCCTTTATTCCCTGACCTATTCCGACACCCCCGGGAAGCAACGTTCCCCATTCGCGATTTACAGACCCTGTCTGTACTAATTGAGTGCTCCCTTTAACCTACCCCCGTGAGGGATATTTACTCCTGATGTACTCTATCCTTTTGTTTTTTCGTTATTACCTTGCTCCTATAGCAAAATTCGACATTTCTCAAGTGCTCTTGTCTAAAGTTTGGGGATACGCCAACACTCGCTACCCATTTGTAAAATTTCCAAGAGACTTCCTGACTAAGGGGATAAGGGTATTTTTCTAGGAGTGGCGGAGGTGGATGCGGGGGGTTTAGAGCAGGACAGTTTCAGTCTGATTTAGCCAGGTTTTTTTTTCTCCTATGTTTTCCCCTTGGCTGGTTGGCTTCGGCCCGGCCGTCTCCTGGGTCAGGAATTCGGTACTCATTTCCCTCTCCTATTTTTCAGTTTTCCAATATTTCTTTCTCTTTCTTTTCTGATTTTTACTAGCAATCTAACGCCATGTTTGCGACCCGCTAGAGGAGGTGGTTGTTGGGGGAGGGTGTCCATAATCTGATCTTGGAGTGTGCGCTGCTTGTGAACTTGCGTTCCCTGCCCTTTGTCACCTTTCCCTTCCTAATGTATCACCATACCAGCTCAAGATCAACACATCAGTCGTTGGTATCTATCCCCGAGAGTACAGTATAAAAGCGCACCTCAATTGACCGGAAGTAAGCCTTGCGATAGGTGAACCGGGATCAACCTGGGCCACGCGCTAGAGCCGTTCGCGAAGTGGTGTGAGTGAGGTATGGGGTGATTAAAGCGAGTTATATGCGAGATAGCCCATTATTGTATACCCCAGATAAATCGAGAGTAATGAGGAATAATGCCACTTGGTGACCTATGTAGGGGTGGAGAAATTTGATCCCCTTCTCACTCTGTATACTCCCTATCCAGGACATACTTCCGTAACCTCCCTGCTTTAGCCACTGTCGTTTTCACTCGCGTAGACTATTAAATTGATTGTTGGCCTGCTCCAGGTTTTTTGATTCAGGTGGTTGTTCCTAAGGGATAGCGTTATGGCGTATTGAGCCTGTCGCTCGATATTTGCTCCTGTGGGACTTAGGATGCCTCGGTAAACATTGCATATACTGTGGAGGTCTGCCGGGCGCAGGAATGGGGATATAGTCCTTATTTATTCGTTACTCTCAGGATTAGGGACTTAGGAGACATTTGCTACTAGTATAACTAATTTCCCGTTGGGAGAGTGTGGAAATCCCATACCCACGAATTCTTCCCTTTCCCCGATTTCCAGACTGGTGTGGATTTCGTGGTATGATATCATCATAAAATATTTTGGGTTCGGTTTCTGTACAGTATCTTTTTGTAATAGGGATTTTGGGGTGTTCGCAGGGTTAGGTTTATAAAGCTGAAATCCGGAAATGAAATTTAGGGTTTTAGGTCAGAGGGTGGGCCCGACAGTACACTGACGGCGCCAGGGGAAAAGCTCATAGCTGTATCTTATCAATTGGATAGCCGGAGAACTGATTTCACAAATATATATTCTTCCTAGAGCCAACCACGGATGGAGCTGCAGTGGAAACCGAAATAATTGAGAGTCCTGCTAGGACATTGGACTTGCTTCGTATAGAAAGGTCACTTGTCTCAAATGATTGCTGAAGGGTCCCGCCAAATATATTTCCCCTTAGGATCCCAAGCGGGAAATTCTGGAGGTCCTTGAACCTTCCTCAATTATTTTTCATTTTTTTATGGTATCATAGCAGTGGTTGAGGGGTGAAAGAGAGCTGCGTTTCTAGGGCACCGGGCGGAAACAGGTTTGTTGTAAATCCACTGCCAGCTATCGAACTTTTGAGGGATTGGAAGCAAGCAATGGAAGTGATAGGCTGCAGTTAACTTAGTCCTTGATAACCTTCCCTACGATCAGTCAATGGGTGACTCCACCAAATGGTGACCCGTGATGCTATACTTTATTCTCGAACAGAGTGCCCCCAGGATAAGATGAAAAAACTTGCTCAAAGTAAAAGGTAGCATTGTATGAATCTCGGGCATACTAAGGTAGCTGATATCTCGGTTGGGTAACAAAATTAGGAGGAAGGATTTTAAACCACTTGTACAAGTATCAAGTGTTCCATTAGATAGGGGGCTGGTTGGGTTGCCATCGCTTCTTCCTTGGTTAGGGTAGAAGATGATTGTTTCTTGGGTTGGCCAGAGTCCGGGGTATCTTTTCGAATTTTCTCTACTGGTGGTCGGTAGCGAACGGCGGAAACGAACGAGTGACTAGCTGTGACCCAAGTGAAACGCCAAGCGCTTACTGACAAAGAACGATCGCAAAACTCGGGCGGGGAAAACTCTTCGCCTCTCACACACACACTCTCTCTATTCTTTCTCAATATCGCACACTCTCAACTAACTAACTACCAGGAAAGACAGGAGCATATATCATCAATGAGCGACAAACGACAAAGTCCCATACTCCCCCTCCAGGTAAGGCCTCCACATACGAGCAAACGCAAGCTAACAAAGGAGCAGACAAACTTCACCGCCCACAGCCTCCGGCCCTCCATACGGCCTCCCATATACCTCCGCGCCTTTCCGTCCTCCTTGTAGCCTTTCCGCTTTTCCTGCGGCCTTCCCCCTCTCCTTTCATAGACTCCCGTGCTAACAAAAAGGAGATAGACAAACTTCGCGATGCTCGTCAAGCCTTCTCGGTAAGTCTCTCTCTCCTCCTTTCCAACTCGCAAACAAACTGCTAACGAAGGAAAGACAAACACCGGGGCTTCACTCAAGCCTTCCTTCTTTCCTTCCGCTGGCGCTTTCCTCTCGCGCCTTCCTATCGCGCCTTCCTTCCGGCGGACTTCTAAACCTGCATGCACTCCCGTCGCCGAAGCGCACTCCCGAGAACAAAAGTGCGCCCGAAGCCGGAGTGTGCCCGAACCCAAGCACGCTCCCAGAAACTAACAAAGGAAAACTAACTAGCGTGCAAACAGGCAACCTCCCCGTGAGCGAACGAACGAACGAGCAACGGGGAAAGGGGAAGAAGGGGAATGGGGAGGGGGGTGGTAGTGAGGGAGGGGTGCGAGCATGCCGAGCTGCATCTCGCCATTTTCAAAAGTATCCAACCCTGCACACTTGACAAATCCAGCTAACTCCTCTAACTGGGCCGTGTGTTCCCGAGCCATCCTGTCGAAACGCGAGCTGTCATCCTTGCCAAATATAATGGAAAAGTACTTGTATGATATACTCTCCGACCGATAGAAAGAAGATAAAGAAAGTGTAAACCAGTGCGGCTCCTGATAGGTACTATACAGCACCTTAGCTTCCATGCAGTCCTAGATCATTTGCTATGAACTATTCATATGTTCATCCTAGGCTTCTAAAATAAACCCCCCTAACTTACCCCCTGTCCGCGAAGTCGAGAGCCTTCCCTTCAGTTCATCTTGCCTTCTTTCCTTATCATGGCCGGCACTGCAAACATGAATTCTTCGACAGCAAACGAACAAACGAGTAGCCAAATGAACGGCGAAGCGAACGAAACCAAACGAGTAATGGGCTGTGAAACGAAACGCCAAGATCCCCCACGTGAAAGGATCCACAACTCGCAGAGGGGGGAGAAAACTCTTCACTTCGCCAATCTCTCTAACTATCGCGCATCCTCTCTAACTAACTAACGGTAGAGACAGGAGTATATATCAACGACACAAAAGACGACCAAGTCCTAGCCCCCCTTCCTTTCAGGTACGTCTCCCGCACACTCACAATCAAGGGAATCTAACAAAGAAGGGACAAATTTCGGCTACCCAGCCTCCGGCCTCCCTATGGGCTTTCCTCTTTCCTTCGTGCCTCCCTTCCAGCCCTTCCGCCACCCTTCCGGCAGATGCACATCTCCATGACTCCCGTATATTCCCATGACCGAAGTGCTTTCCCGAAAAAGCAAATCTGTGCGGGCGGAAGCCATAGCGCGCCCGAAACCAAATCGCACCCCGGGAGACTACGAACAAACAAACCATCGTGAGAGCATGCCGGTCAGCACCTCGCAATTTCCAACAATGGAACATTCCATTTTCATGCTTATTCAATTTAGGATTGGGGCACCATATTCTAGGGGATCGTTGCTAAGTCGGTGTCGCCCAGACTGCACCCCCAGTAGTATGACGAGCAGGGCCCTTCTATTTCCCTAGAGCACATGCTTTACATCAACCTTCGGTAATTTATCCGTTTGTCTAGTTGAGGGATTGAGTTACTATGGAATCCCTGCGGGCATGAAACTGCCCAACAAACGAAAGGATCATCTTTACAAGACCAGCGTAAGCAATGAGGAGCTGCCTAGAGTTTTCCTAATCAAAGAAGCCATCTCCAAAGCGCCTTTTAGCTCTAGGCAAGCGACTAAAGCTGGCTGTTTATTATTTATACAAGATAGTTCTCGGGGTTTCACCTTTAGATCCAGTAAGTCAATGGACCCTTGAGAGATACGGTCCCTGGTATATTACCTCCTCACGCTACAA